AGGATTTTCGGAGCCAGACACGATGCCAAGCACGATCGTGCCTTCGATCGTGCCTCCGGAGCAAAAACGCGCATTTTGGGCAGGCACGATCGTGCCTCCCTCCAGGCACAATCGTGCCTGGCTGGCAGTAACTCCGCGGTGCTTTTCTCTTCAGGCACGATCGTGTCTGACTTTGAGGGCACGATTGTGCCTACTTAACTTCCGAATTTGGCAAAACTTCCTTGATGAAAGTTGTAGATAATGAAGTCTTCTATCCACCCCAATTTGCCGAATGTGATTTGAATCATCCAATCAAGAGATGTGATCAAAACGGTGGAAGGTGTCTTTCTGAAATCGCAGCAGAGATCATCTGACTTCATCGTCTGTTTTCACCTTCTTCCTCTCCGATTCTCGCAAATGTGTCTTCATATGATTTGTAGCCCTTGAAGTTGGCTTTCCTATGGAACTTGAATCGTGGACATTGGATGTTTCTACAAAGAGATATGCTTGAACGATTGACAGAAGGTCATCCTGGTCGTCGTTTTCAAGCTTCATTCATCTTCTTTTGATCCTGAAGCCAATCCTAGAGCTCTTTTTCCTTCAAATCTTCATCGTGAATCTTCCGGTGACCTCCAAAGCTATCAAATCATTCTCAAATGCTTCTCAAGTCATCCCGATTGTTCCTCAAGTGCCGGTGCCGGACTCAAATTCCCTGATTTTGACTCCAACTGACATAAAACTCGAACCAACGCCCGGTAAACATAACTTGAGCTAAAATTGAGACTTGCAACGCCTTAAAGCTGGGAAACCCATCAAAATCCAGTCCCAACACGCATCAAATGCGTGTCTAAATATGGACTTATCAGACCCCTGAAGGTCAGTCATAAGAACGGGGCGGATACCTAACAACCGCTCACACTCATCAACCCACTGTCGACAAGCAGTGCCTCTAACTGCTCTCCCATGAACCTCTAACCCGGTGAGTACAGCCACATCTCCCAATGTCACAGTCACCTCACCAACAGGGAGGTGAAATGAGTGTGTCTCCTGCCTCCAACGCTCAAGTAGAGCAGTGAGAAGGGCTCTATCAAGAGGCACAGTAGCCACTAATCTGTGCAGTGTAAAAAAACCAGCAGCACAAACATAGGCTAGGACTCTGGGGTCGACATGTAAATGGGACAAACCCCGCAGGTGCTCGCGGCACCTATCAACCTGGACATCCATGCCAAGCCAAACATCCTCACTCCTGTGTGAGGCCTGCAATGTAAGGACAGAACGATCACTCGGCCCAGGATCCGCTATCACCTCCATGCCTACAAACAAATAAAATTTGTATTAGTTTTAATTGTATAATGTATTACTTTTTTTTTAACATTCCTTTTTGAAATGATTAAGTTTCCTTGCAAGGAAAAGATGATTTATGATTGACTCTAAATAGAACCTTACCCGGCGGACCCCCCCTCTTGTCTAGACGATCTTTTCGCACATGTCGCTCTATTATGGCCGGTTTGGTGGCAATTTCCACATCTAACCGTTCCTCGTGGACCTTCATCCATCTCATTCTTAATACGGGTCGACTTTGGTCTTCCCTTTGCCCGAAGCATGGATGGATCGTGCACGATTTCGGGTCCATTGTAATTTGGCCAATAATCACGATCAGGAATCGGTTTGAACACCCTATGATATGTGGCGGCGTATTGGTCAGATGAGAAGAACTTATCCACAAAAGGAGCATAAGACAAACTACGTTGTCTACACACGGCTAATACATGAGAGCATGGAATTTTGTATATCTGCATCTTTTTACAAGTGCAAGTTTTCCGTTGTAGGTGGACAGTTTGTTTTCTCCCACCCTTTCCCAACGTTCGGCCACCACAACCGGTTTCCACCTGAAATATACCTCTCCCTAAATCAAATGGAGTGACAATGTGATGCTTTGCCTTCTCTCTATTTTTTTCAATTAAATCTGTGATGTGTGGGGAGTACTCGTGGCCTTGTGTGAGCCTCAATTTACTGCTTTCACGCCTATGGACAAAGTAGGCATTAACCCGGTAAAAAGACACCTGGACCAACGCGGTAATGGGCAAATATCTAGCATTTTTCATGACGCTATTGAAAACCTCAGCTAGATTTGAAGTGATGGTACCGTATCTGTACCCGCCATCGTGGTGCAGCGACCACATTTCTGGAGGAATGTTGGCCAAAAAATGACGTGCATCCCTACTCATTTCACCTATCTTCTTGAGCCCACCATCAATTTTTTTTTTTCTGATGTTGCCGTGCGGTCCACACAAAAAGATTTTTTAAATGAATGTCTTTGAAATGAGTATGCACATTTGATGCAAGATGGCGGATGCAAAGCCTATGATGCGCATAAGGCTCCTCCCATGTACTGCCCACCTCATTCATTGCCCTGAGAATACCTCCATGTCTATCTGAAATGACACACACCTCCCTGTCAGTCACAAACTGCCTAATACATGCCATAAACCATGGCCAACTATCTCCATTCTCGGATTCAACAACTGCAAAGGCGACTAGGAAAATTTGGTTGTTCGCATCACAACCCATGGCCACAAGCAATGTACCCTTGTACTTTCCATACATGTGTGTGCCATCAATAGTAAGTACGGGTCGACAATGCTTAAAACCAGATATTGATGCCTTGAATGCCCAAAAAACTCTTTGAAACATCATATAACCTGTGGAACCATTGGGGGGTGGGTACCACTGAACAACAGTTCCTGGATTAGAATGTTGGAACGCTGTCATGAAACGGGGCAATTCGATATATGACTTTTCCCAACCGCCAAATATTTGTGCTATGGCCTTTTGCTTCCCCATCCATGTTCTCCGGTAAGATACCGTATACCCATATTTTTCCTTCAACATCTCGATGATAGTATGCACTTTAAGAGAAGGATCAGTGCGAATAATGTCAACCACATCTTTACAGATGAATTCTGATGTCAAGGCCACGTGATCTGTAGTGTCGATGTTGCCTACACAAGAAGCAGAATGAGGTCCAGAATAACGCACAATTGTGAAGGTGTCAAGGTTGCCTTTGTTCTTTGTGGCGCGTATTCTCCAGGGGCAATGACATTCTTTCTTCCTTTTGCATTGTGCCACCCATTTGTGTTTATCGGACTCTATCACCCGATAGAATTGGTTCCGTTTGATAGAATACAAGCTCACCATATTGATGACTTGTTCTTTGTTGTCAAACTGTTGACCGACCTCAAACTCACCATCGGGGGTAAACCTTTTCTCACCTGATCCACTCATCCACGCATCAGTAAAACCTTCAGGGAGATCATACATTCTAGTAAAATGGCTAGACGGGGCAGTTGACGTCACTGTATCACCATCATCTTCATCAGATTCTGTCATGTCATCGCCATTGATGTTGTCGTCTGCATCATCATCACTTCCCTGTCCATCCACAAATGATGCACCGTTGTGCAAATACCTACCATCCTCCTGTATAACCATGTCTAGTACAGGAGCCTTTGAGGAGTTCCCTGCATTCACCCCTGCATTGACATCATGCCTATATAAAACAGCATTTGATGTTGATTGAGTACCATAAGTGTCACTGGATTCGTCAATGTATATCTCCAGCGTTGACATATCCTCCATCTGAATAATGCCCCACATATTAGTTATAGCTAGCTCATCAATGAGCGGCATAAGCATGTACTTTCCCCCGTTCATGGGAAATTTCATTTTCAACCGCAATGAACGGCCGGGATGAATCATTGTGGTTGCATGTATTTTTTGAAGGATCTCGAGCATGCAAGCTCCACGAGAAACCATGACAAAGCTGGTTCTGCCACCTTCATGGCATATTTGCCCACCATTTTCATAATAGTTCCCTCCCCAATGACACACGAGTGGGAAGCTTGAGAAATCCATATTCTAATAACAATTCATTGTCCAACATTCATGAGTACGCATCAATATACACACTTTATACAAATTCAAATTTTTTAATATAAAATGCTTCCAAAATTGTAATATATCCTAAAATCCAAATTCACAAACAATTCACATTTCAATAACAAACAACCCAAATTTTGATATCTACATTCAATGTCTACCTTGGAATACCCAAATTTAGGTACATTCAACTCTACCCAAATGCCCAAATGTCAAAATACACATTACAATTTACAAACAATTTAAAATCAAATTTCAACATTTCATACATATCCACATTTCACAACAACTGAATTTACAATCAATTCATAATCCAAAAATTCTATCATTTCAAAATTCAAAACCCTAAGTTCAAAATGAGATGAAATGGATTTGGATTTACCTAGAAAAAGTATGAAAGAGTGTTGAAGAGGATGGAGATGAAGGTTTGTCGGAGTGGTGTCGCCGGAGATGGAGGTTCGCCGGAGTTGGAGATGGCCGGTCCTTCGTCGGTCGTCGCTCGTCCTTAGTCGCTGCAGAGAAGCTCTCGAATTGGGGTGGGTTTAGTGTTTAACGCGTTCTGTTTGCGGCTGTCTGCGAGAACTTACTTAAGGGTAAGTCGCCCAACGGTTGGGCGACTTATAAGTCGCCAAACCGTTTGGCGAGTTATAAGTCGTCCAACCGTTGGGCGACTTACCCCGACCCTGGTTAATCCAGCAGTATTTTGGTAAATACTTTTAACCCAGCCCTATTTTCGTAATTAATTAATTAATTAACATTAATACGGAAAAAAACTCGCAAATAAATCATGAATGAGGGATGAGGATCAGAGGATGACTTACAAGGATATGAAAAAAACTAACTGTCACTAAAATATACCTATATACGAAGTAATTTATTACACGTTCAAAGTGAAAAGGTCATTACAGGCTGGGCTAGTGGGCTTACTTGGCCGTAAAAGTATAGCTTTGTATACGACATAATTTGTGGCTTTTTGTCTACAATAAGATAACTTCACATGGGCAAATTTGGAAGGAAATTGCCAACTCCCACAAATTATGTCGTAGTAAAAGATAAAGAATTGAATTAATCAAAACTAATCAGACTCGTCAAAGTAATACTGCGCGGAAAATAGATGCTGAATTGGGAAAAATAAATAAAGAATAATGCATTTCGCTGTTATCTGATTATTTCAAGTAGAAATAAGAAATACAAAGCAGATTAATCATCAAAAACTTGAATGATCATCAAACTCAACAATCATGTTGGAGGTGAAGTTAACAAATTATCTCAAAACCAAGCATTAACATAGTCGTAGTAAAAGATAAAGAATTGAATTAATCAAAACTAATCAGACTCGTCAAAGTAATACTGCGCGGAAAATAGATGCTGAATTGGGAAAAATAAATAAAGAATAATGCATTTCGCTGTTATCTGATTATTTCAAGTAGAAATAAGAAATACAAAGCAGATTAATCATCAAAAACTTGAATGATCATCAAACTCAACAATCATGTTGGAGGTGAAGTTAACAAATTATCTCAAAACCAAGCATTAACATAGTTATAATAATAATGAAGGCCTTATTGTTGCTGGTGAGATTGTCGTTGCTGTTCTTGAGAGTTGTAAAGAAGAAGAAAAGTGGCAGGCTGACACTTTGCAACATGGCCAAATCTTGAGGTGTTGTACTTCCTATACACTCCTGTTAGTTTCCCTGTTGCTGCCCTTTGATGGAAGCTCACCATCATTCTTGAGCTTTCTCTGGTAAAGAAGCTTTGTAAGTAACAACATCTACATCCCTCCCCACTTTAATAAAACTGGTACAAAACTCAACATCTTTATTCAATAGATGCAGTGGTTTGTTTTAGTAAATGTTTTAATTTAAAAGAACTTAATCATCACATATTAAAAAAATTACTGAGTATAAAGTACAAGTTGGGAACTCTTTGCACAAAAACTAAGTCCGACTTACAGAAGTTGATGTTCAGAGTAGCCAGTATGCCATTCACAGGTCTGGTTCCACTCCTTATTATGGGCATGGAGTGTGCATTGTGCAGTGTAGACTGCAGCGGCCGCCAAAGACGATGGGGGGTATTTGGTCATTTCATACTCCACAAGGCAGAGCTCAATTAAGAACAAAGACAATAGCTCCAGCTGTTAAAACCCCAAATTCTCAACATATGTCAGTGTCTTTCTTAAAGCCAAAAAAGTAAAGAAGAGCTCAATCAAGCAAGCTAGCTAACCTTCTTCTTATCAGATTGTGTGGCCTTGAGGAATCTTCTGAGAAAGACATAAGGAGTTGGGACTGACATATTGAATTGCAGTGTGTTGAGCATCCAGCTCTCCTGCACAATTTTTTTTTTTTTTATAATAATATAGGAGGGGCAAAAGTTTAATGTTTGCATATTTCTATAGTAAGCTTTATCTTTGTGTCATTTTTCAGTATCAAACTAACCATGTCAAGAACTTCTTTCTTTGTGTAAGCTTTGGCAGAAATGAACACAAAATCATCCACAACGGGAACAGAAACCTCTTCATATTTGCAAGCCAATAGCATAGCAACCAACCCAACCAGTTGAAGCTTCTTTCTCACCACATTTTGTTTCTCTAAAAATCTGTCTATGATATTTATGGTCAGAAACAGTGTCTCTTCCCTTAGCTCAAACTTGTGGTGCACCTGTTTGCCATCACCATTTATAACAAACAACACTTATAATTCAATCTTCCCAGTTTGGTTGGGTTACATTCACTGCATTCACCAAAATCAGAAATAATTGAAAGTTCTTGGGGACCAAATGCATAACATGTGTATAGGAAAGTTACCTCAACGAGCCAGTCAATTAGTATAGCCCTCATCCTTTCATTGATGTCAAGCTGTCTTGACATGTAATCAGGGGAAACGCAGCTACAGTTCTGCAAATATGATGGTAATTGTTCATGGTAACTATTCTGACAACAGTCAGTCAATAAAGTTACTGCGAAAGTAAGTTGGCAGTTAGTTAAAAAGCATTTTGATTGTGGGATTACAGGTTGGCATTGAAGATGAGACAAACTTTGAATGTTTATTTAATGTAACAAGTAATAGTAGTAGCAGTAGTATTGAAATAATCTTTTTTCAATTAGAAACTCACAATATGTTACTAATAGATACACATTTAACAAATTACGGGTAGTATAAAATATCATACAATTAATAATTCTAGTTAAACATTTTTTTCATATCATCTACATAAGTGAATTTCACACATAAATGTAGCTTAAAAATGTCTCTCTATCCTTGTGGGAGGGAGATACACCTTTTTTAGTTCATGGTTCACACTCTCACATTCTGGGGGGTTTTTGGTTTTTGTTATACTACGTACTAGTTTACACTTTTATTTATCTGTCTTAGACTAGAAAGTAGTTATACTTTCCTAGCTTCTCTATAATAATATAGATGTAACAACAACAACAACAATAATACCGTAGTAATAAATTAACATACAATAAATATACACTTCCCTATTCTCCCAACCAAACCCTAAGCCACTGCATATATAGAGCTTCACATGAGCTACTGGAAGTGACCTGTCTTTAAAAGGTACTCCAAAACGCAAATTTGAAACGTTTGCATCTTTTCTGAAAAAAGTTTGTGGATTATCTATTAGTTCATTATTACTACCTCAACTTTTCTGTAATAGGCATAAAGATCTTCAATGTACTCAACAACTGCAAGAGGGTTTTTTGCATCTCCGCTGTCAATGTCCAAGGACACACTCTCTTCATATATATCCTCCATTTCTACCTCATCCTGCATAGGCATTAGAGTAATACATATAATCCAGATTCATCAAACTGCTCCGTACAATTAAGATTAAAAAAAGAAAAAAAAATACCATATGATGTTTTTCGTTTGAATCTATTTCTGCTTGCTCCAAAGTCATAGGGACTGGCTGGTCTTTATCACAATTTTTTTCGTGTTCATCTTCCTCCCGTAGCCCGGATTCTTCAACCTCAATTCTTTGTTTCTTGCTTTCCTGCTCGACATCAATAATGCACATTCATATAAATACTATAGAAAAAACACCAGCATATACTTTTTGGAAAATCATTTCAGTAGATGGCGGATTCCTTGGTAATGTACCTCATGATAATGTTGCTGAGAGTTTGCAATTTGGGCAGCAAATTTTCTAAATTTAAATAAATAGCGCTTTTAAGGAGTTATACTTGAAGAACTCCAGATAATAATAAATTGACAAGAAATTTATTAATCTCTTATCTGACCTTGTTATTGGTCTATTAGCTTGTACAGAATGATTCTTGTCACTGTTCCCGTTTTTTCTGATCACAAGAATATAACACATACATAACTAAATAATTAGATAAACGAATGAATTCATAAATAAAGACAAGATATTAGCTTTTCCATGAACAACATTAAACATTGAAGAAGAAATGCATTACTCTGATGTTCCTCCTCTATTAGTAACAACACATGGGTATGGATTAGCTACTATGTTCTGATTAATGGCACCCAAAACTCTCCGGTTCTGCCGCCCTTGCACTCCAAACTTTCTTCCATCCATCTCTGCGCCACCACCATCCATCCATTAGTGAACAAAATAAGTGATCCATTAATAAATCAAACAGTACTTCAGACTGAATTCAAAATAAAAATTGAGTTGCTCGAGACCCACTTGAAAACTTTCATTCCCCAGGGAATATAATATAATTCGGTAAAAAAGGGGAACCAGAAGATCTAAAAAGATCCAATTTTTGTTTTCTAATACCTTCAACAATTCTGGGTTTAATCCAGGTACGGTTGTTATTCTCCCCAGATATGACCATGTTTTCTTGATCCATCTTGATTATAGACTAAGAACCCAAATCCACAAAAGCCCCAAGAACAATCCAAAACCAGAAATCAAGAATATTCCTCTCCTTCAGCTCTTCAATCATCTACAGTAGAACCAAGAATACGAAGAGAACAAGTGAGAGAAGGTTGGGGATTTTTATCGATATGATGATAATATTATTATGGTTATTACGCTTATTATGAGCCTGGGTGGGATGTGGGTCTTTATTCAAATCCAACGGCTAGTAAAGGAAAATTTGCCCCGGTGGGGCCGACCGAGCTCCCAAACGGCTATGGGCCACAACGGTCATCATGTAAGGGGGACTGGGATGTGGCGATTGGCAAAGCCGTTTTGCGTGAGAGAGAGACAGAGGGAAGCTCGACAGGAGAGGAGAGAAGCGAAGACGAGAGAGACGTTGCATTCAAATTATTATGGTTCATAATTAGTGAGACATATATATGAATCCAGTTTTATAGTAATTCATTAATTACTTTTCTTAAATTGATTTAATTAGTGTTTAATAATGGTGCGGTTAATTGAGTACTGCTATATTCTGCCATTAAAGCCATTTTCATTATTCCACATTCATTTCTGATCAATATTATTTGCGGTTTGTGAGAAAATCAAGAGATGATTGTTGACTAATAAGGAATTATGCTAATTGATGATAGATGAAAATCTATTCCAAAGGTAAGTTTACCTCAATATAACTCAAAGGCACCATTTTAATTTTTTATTGGCTACAAGGGTTGAATTATGATCTATATAACGTGATCACTATGGAGTTATTCATCACGCCAATGTGTTCTCAATTTTCATATGTAGTGCATTTCTCATTTCACATTTTTATTTATTATTGTATTAAACATCATATTATGAATGATGGAGTATATGGACTCCGACCCCCCGGTCTGCCGACTACTGGGCCTGGACAGCGGCCCACACACGTTTAGCGGATTCTTATTATTGTACATTATTATTATTCAGATGTTCTAGATTAGCTTTTTACACTATCAGTCCATTTATGTAACCGGGTCTGTCAGGCCCATATTAGAGGTTCAGACCCGGATTTTCCCTATATATACTCCTTATAGGAGGCTTGTAAAGATAACCAATATTCATTCACAATAAACATATATCTCCTTCTACATATTCTTTGTTCAATCTCTCCCGTTTATACAGTATGGGTATCAATTATCCAACAATTTGTCTGCTCCATCCTCTGGAGGAGTTCACCGAGGCCAAGGCATGCCTGCAGAGGGAACCAATAAACAACGAGGGGTAAGTTGCAAGGTAAAATATGCAAGGACCAAAATAGTTAAAGGAAGAAAGGAAATGAGGAACTTAGTGACAGAAGCTTGGAGGACCTTGGCGCTGAGGGCACCGTCCTTTTGCCGAGACAGCACTGACTTATCTGTCGGTGGAGTTGCACCCCATAGGAACTCCCCCGGGTCCAGAGTTCCGTGCATTATGGCAGTCCCCTTGGCGATGGAGAACTCCACACTTTCCCGGGGCCATGGAACCTCAGACGTCCCGCCTGGGAGCTCAGAGGGGGGATGTTCCTCAACGATGAAGACGGGGGCTTCCTTCTTGTCAGCGGCCCCATTCATCTTCTTCTTCTCCGGACGCTTAATGCCCTTCCCGGTGTTTTTTCTCTTCAGCTCCTCCGGCCTGGAGCCCCCGGCATCAGTGTCGGCATCAGCAGCAGCAGCCCTCTTGGAGGTACCCTCCTTCACTTGGCCCTCGGCCTCTTTATCCTTCTTGAAGAAGGCATCTACATGCTGCTGGGTTGAAGGCCCCTCATCCTTCTTCTTCCTCTCCTTCGCCAGTTGCTTGGAGAGCTTGGCGAAAGCCTTCAGATCCATAATATCGCCTGCAAAACAAGTAAGTCTTAGGTCACAAGAGCAAACAAAAGGAAAAAATTTTCTAAGTACTAAAGAGGAGATCCCTCGGCAAACAACCTCCGGTGTTCTGGTAGCCCCGGTCAATCAAAGGATATTTCTCGTCGTCCTCCCCGGCGAGGCGAAATCGCCGAAAGCCTAACAAGTACAGTTCCTTCGGCAAGGTGGCCTCTTTGATGGGTATCACTTTATCAGAGCCCTCGGGCTTCTCAATAAGCTTCTTGCCAGCCTTCGCCAGGGCCGCGCTGCCCACCTTCGGGTGCCTCCGGAAATGGTTGCGCAGAGCCCCGGGGAATGGATTATCAGCCATCCGGATATAACAGAATTTCTCCTTCCACTCCTTGTGGGAGGAGGGGGTCTCCGAGAATAGCTTCCAGGCCGGCACCTGCTGAAAATTGGCATACCCCCAGCGTGGGAATGTCCCCCCGGCACAGATTAAAAGAGAGGAAGAACTGGTCCAACGTAGCCTCAACCTTCCGGCTTCGGCAGAGAGACAGGAACCCCGCTAAGTAATAGTGGTTGTCGGCGTAAGCTGGCAGGGGGCTAGCTTCACAATCTTTAGGTATTCCAAGACAAAGGGATGGAGGGGGAACCTAAGGCCCAACTCCACCGAGAGCATGTGTACTGAGAAGCACCCCTCAGGGGGATGGGATAACAGATCTTTGGGCCCCGGCTCCACAACTTGTGTCGAGGGCCCCACGAGGACCTGGAGGGCTTGATATTCAGCACCCGAGGCTATAGTCTTCACCTCGAGGGCAGTGGTGTCCAAATACGAGTGCCCCTCGGGAATCCCAACTGGCTGCCCTCGATCGACGGCTGCGTGCTTCTTCTTCGGGGCAGCCCTCAGTTTCTTCTTCTTTTTACCCAGGGCAACTCTGAGAGGTTCCAGGTTCAGTGGCCGGGAGCTACTTGCTTCTCCGGCGCCGCGAGGAGGCAGAACAGCGACCGTCACCTGCCGCCTCTCTTTCTCCTCCTCTTCATCGGCTACTTGGAGAGCGAAGGCCATCTCCTCGTCTTCCACCACCTGCTCAAACTCCTCCGCCTCCAGCTTAGTGCGGAGTTTGCCTAAGACTTCTGCGGCTATTGCGGAGTCATTTCCTGCTGACGGCTGCGCGCTTGATGATTCCACATCTGATATGCTCTCAGACACCAGCGGGGCCTCCTCCAAAATGTTTTGAGAGTCACTTGCCGAGGACATCTCTTCGTAGGATAGGGGAAGGAATTGGAGAGAATAATATCCTAAGGCCTCAGAAGTCTCTAGACACTTAATCTAAAGGCGGGGAAGCAAAATATACTAAGGAGCTCAAGAACAGAAGAGGAACTGACCTTAAAAACTTTGTTTGATCGAAGGAAGAACTTTTTCTCTCTAGAAAATTTTTGCCAGAGCTTTGCTAACAATGAAACGCGCAAAGGCAAATGGCTTGGGGCTTGGGTTTTATAGACCTCCTCAACCACAGTTAGCCTCGAAACTGGGCCTCCGGTTAAAAGCCCATCATTACCAACCGTCGCCTCAACCAATGGATGGCACCCGCCCGCCTTCAGCCAACAGGTGCATGCCACGTGGATCACACCTCCAACGGCTCTATTACAACGGCTATATTTCAGAAACACCGGAGTGTCCTCAGGTGATAGCCTCCGGCTATCACCCACACCAACTTTCGAGCAAGCAGCAGTATAAGCCTTCGGTTTATCAATGTTGCCACCCATCAGAGTATACTTGGATGATAGCCTTCGACTATCATCCATAGCAGCATCCGGTGGACATACGTCACCTAGTACCTTCGAGCAAGCAGCAGCATAAGCCTTCGGTTTATCAATGTTGCCACCCCTCAGTCACTGACACCCTTCGGGGAACTCATCAACACATTGTAACTCCTTCAGCCCGAACTTGCCTTCGGCCTAAAGGAGTGGGGGACTAGGGTACACCCCTCGGGAATCACACAGAACAAAATGTCCACATGCAAAAATTTACAAGTGACGCATGCAACCTTCGGGCAAGCATCAAAGGAGAACCCCTCGGGTACATACTTCACTATACCCTTCGGCAGAAGCGAAAAATCAAAAATTTTCCACAAGTCACTTGTGGTGATGAAGCAGCCTTCATCACAACACATATAGCTATTATCTACACTTCCCTCAGAAAACCCTCGACATGTGGGGGACTAAGGGGAAGCCCTCGGCAAATACGAGTAAAGCTCTCCGGTAAAGCGTAAGCCTTCGGTAGAGCCAACGCATCAACGCAATTACTCCTTTTCCCTCAAGTACTTTTCGGCAAAATGAGTGGGGGACTCCTGATCGAGTATATGGCCCAGGAACCCCCGGCCCATAGACTCCTACTTCTCCTGCACAGGCCCAATGAGCCCAAGACACGCCCAAAGCCAAAATACAGCGGCCCAAGTGCCAAGAAGCCCACAATACACACAGGGGTGCCTTCGGCCTCCTTGGCCGAAGGCTCCAAATCTCACAGGGCTGCCAGTTTCGAGCATATGAAGCTACTGGAAGAAAACGGCGTGAAATAGTAGCCCTCGGCTACCAGGAGCCTTCGGCATCAGGGAAGCCTTCAGCTGTACACCGCCCTCGGCTGCACAGAGCCCTCGGCCAACAACTCAATGATCGAAGATTCCCTTTGGAGACAAGCAACCACCGCATTTAATGCGGCGTCACATCCACCCACCGCATTCAATGCGGTGCACATGCGAATGCCAGTGCCACACGATTGAGGTGACCCCTCGGCCGTAGATTATCGCCACGTGTACTCTCATCGCATTTATTGCTGCTATAAATAGCACCCCTTTTTCCCATTGTAAAGGACCAGAACATCTCGAGTTCATTAATACAATCGCCTCTCTCTCCTACTTGTTTGCTCTGACTTCTCTCTAGGTTATTCTCATAATAACCCCTCGGATAAGCTACCCCCGGGTACGCTGTCCATCAATGAAGATCGTCATTTAATTTAGGGAAAATAAATTTAAATAAGGCCAACTATTACCCATAAACCAATAATACGGAGTAATACATATTTGAAAATATGGAGTAACTTTTAATAATACCAACTATTTGAATATATAAAAAACAAGATTATGATGTCACTTTCTCACTAAAAATACAGTCATTTAATATGCCAAAAACCGATCAAGCAATCAAATAAATGTTATTTTGAAATGGGGTCACTTATTTAGTTTTTTGATACAAAGTTTTGATGAGAAAACTTCTCTTAAAAGTTAAGACAAAAATAAGTTGATGTACATTACTTAAAAAAAGATAACGTGGAAACAATTATTTAAATCATTAGAGTAGATCAGTACGGTGAATAAAATTGCACACAACTTAAGTTACAAGACATAAAAAATTTGAGATTATAGCGTGAATTCCTCCACTATTATGTTGGGTGGGATGTGGGTAGGGGTGGACAAAAATATCGGAAAATACCGAAATATTGATATACCGTCATTTTCGGTACGGTATGATACCGTGCCGATATATTTTGGTACAGTAACGGTAAATGTTTTCAAATACTGCGGTAT